TCCATTGTAAAAGTACAAAGAGTCAATGTATCAAGGACTACCATAAGGCAGGCCTACATTAAGCAACAGCCTGAAGAACTCCTCTTTTGGTGGCTTCACTGGAGGAAGAAAGCCTGTGTTCAAGTGGGATGCAAAGATATGTTCATGTAACAACATGACTTGGCCTCTAGAGAAAGTGTGCTTTTACATAACAAAAAGAACAAAGAAAATCACAAATACACCTAGAGATCGTACTCTGAAGTTTTATTCACTTTGCTAGGCCTTTAAAAATAACAATGCAAAAAAGCCAGATTTTAGCCCACCCTAGATAAAAATTCATAACCCTTTTTGTGCTCAACAAATTCAGATTTTGTTCCTGGAAATTCTGATTTGGGTAAAATCATGTCTAAGCAATCAGTTCATTGGCACAGAGATATGAAATAATTGGAACGCTCTTGGGGAGAAGAATATATATGAAAAAATATATTTTCCAGAAAAACAAAAAAAAAACCTTTCACATATAAAGGAATTATAGTAATTGGGGTGTTTAGTTTGCCAGCCTTCCTGACAAATGTAATGGTATAAAGGTCATCTTGAAAGAAAGTACAATGAAGTTCTTCTTCGAGTGATTGCACATGTTCATTCTACTTCAGGTGTGTGCATGCCCAGTGCACCAGTCAGAGATTTTTCTCTAAGCAGTACCCCCGTCATAGTGGCAAATGTGCCCTCAGCTGTCTCGCACTGCTGCACAATGGTATAAAGGGTGGAGCCACCCCATACCCATCAGTTCCTTCTTACTACCTATGATCAGTAGTCGGAGCACGTTGGCTTGCTACTGCAAGTTTTCTCCTGCAGGGGGAGTATCTCCCTCCTTTAAATAATCAGTTGGTACTTGACAGTTTAAGCTCTCTGTTATTTTCTTTTTCTGACTTTGAGCATCAGATCCCTCTTTTACAAAGGGTACCATCAACTGGTGCTGGGCTTTAAGCCTTGTGCTGGCTGCAAAAGTCTATGCCAGTGAGTGACCCTCATTCTAGGTGCCTGAAGTACCTCGGTGAGGAGCATGTTTGAGGGATTTCAAAGCCCAAAGGAGGATAGAGAGGGGAGACTGTCACATTCCCAGAGGCCACCTGGTGTCTATCCTCTGAACCTTCCTGCTCAGGGTGGGCACTGAATACTTCTATCTTGATTAGGAGTACTCCTCAGGACCTTGGATGGGAAAGTTGGTGCTGATCCCTATTTCCAGTGCCAAGGTTGAACCATCATTCTGCTAGTGGAGCTCTTCTAGAAGGTCAAGGTCCCTGGTACCGTCCACTAGTAAACCATCAGGAGGACATCTGGAAAGGGATGCTTCCTGGTACCAATCTTTTCTTCTCATCAAGAGTGATGGATTCCAGCACTGTAGGGTTGCCAACTCTGACTGAAGCTATTCCAGATTTCCCCCCCACCCCCCAACATGACGTCATATTTTCTTAAAATATGCTATTAAAATCTCCTGGGTTGCTTTCAGTAGTCACCGGGAGATCAATGCCGATTCCGGGAGACTCCAGGCCAATCCTGGAAGGTTGGCCATCCTATGGCACTGGTGTCTGGGCCGTTGAGGCCCACCTCTACTGCAGTGCCAATTCCTTCTGTGTAACAGCAGCATGGAAATCTCTGAAGACCAAAGACACCAGAGGACCCGCTCTACCTCGTGGTGCAGAATTCTCCGATTGTGCAGGAGACATACTGGCCAGTACTGGTTGCTCCTCAGGCCCCAGCTTCAGTTTTACCTCTGAGACAAGTTCAGCCCTCAATACCTCTTAATAGCGTCCAGTGCTTCCTTGCCAGGTGCAGGCTGTCCTCAGAACCAACATCTCCAGTGAGATGCCACCAGACTCCAGCACCAATTGGTACAGCATCTCCACTGTCAGGTGACTCAGAGTTCTCCTCTGAGTCTGAGGTAGGTTCCTACACCCCTTGCTCCCAGGATAGAAGCTGACACTAACCTTTATGAGAATTCCACTCCTGGTAGTTGTCAGATTTCCCAACATAGTCCAGAGACACAGTTCCTTGGAACAGTCATGGCTGGGGTCCGATGCCTTAGTAATGGTCTTATTGGAACCTGTGGGAGTTACCTCCCACCTCCAGATCTTCCATAATATAGATCACCAAGCAGATACCAGGCTAGTTCCCAAGAGGAAGTCCAGGATGAGGACAGTACTGAGCAGGAACCTCAAAACTAATCTCGGATTTTGGAACCTCAATCCTCCTCAGTACAGGAGACCCAAACAACTGCCTTTGCACTCATCATTACCTGACGAGGTTGTGGTGCCTGGGGGGGTCTTCACCTGTTCAGGATGACTACTGGGCTTACTAGGAGTTACTAAAGAGTAGCTACCTGTCTTGATATTCAGGTTGAGGGGGTTCAGGAGATTTCCCATAAGTTGGTGGACATACTGGCTTCTAGAGTGCTGTTACCCATAAATGATACCATTCTAGAGCCTACAAAATATCTGTGGCAAATGTCATCCTTCTGCCACCAACAGCTAAGAGGACCAAGAGAAGCTACCATGTCTCTTCCTAAGGTTATGAACATTTTAACACACATTCTTTTCCAGGTTCCTTAGTTGTCTCACTATGAATGAAAAAGCACATCAGGGATGACCTCCTATCCCAAAGAACAAAGATGCAAAGAGACTAGACTGTTTTGGTAGGAAGATTTATTCCACAGCTAGGCTAAAAAATTTTATCTTTAACTAGCAAATCTTATTGGCTGGATAAAACTTCAATTATTGTTCTAGGCTCCCTGATGGATGCTTTTCTAGTCTCTCTTGGAGAGACAAGCTTCTGTATGTCTGCCATCTTATCCTACCCAAGATGTTATCCAAACTCAAGCAGGATCATGCTCACATGATCTTCATAGCACCGGTTTGGCCTCGCTACCGTTGGCTCTCCAGTCTGCTGAGCCTCTCTGCCAGGGCTCCTATAAGACTACTTCAAGATCACAATAAGATCTCCCAGGACCACAGTCAGATGTTACACCGCAGTCTATTCTGTCTCATGGCCTGACTGCTCCATGGTTAATTCCTCAAGAGACAGAGTGTTCTGCAAATGTGCAAAACATTTCTGAATAGCAGGAAGCCATGCACTAGGTATACTTACCTGATGAAGTGAACACTATTCTTCATAAGGTGAAAGCAGAGAGGTGTTTCACCAGTCCTGGTCTCTATCCAACATGTTTTGGATATGTTTCACCTGAAATAGCAGGCTCTATTGGTTAGTTCCATCAGAGTTCATCTGGCAGTGACTTCCACTTTCCAATCATCAGTTGTGAACCACTCAGTATTTTCTAACCCTATGTCAATCAGATTCTTAACAGGTCCAGACAGGTTATATCCCCATGTCAGGAATCCCATTCCTCCCTGGAACCTGAATTTGGTACTCGCAGGGTTAACAAGTCAACGCTTTGAACACACAGCTACTTGCTCCTTACTGCATCTCTCTATGAAAGTAGCATTTTTGGTAGCTATTTTATCTGCAAGAAGGGTAATGGAGTTACGAGTGTTGGTAGATGACCCTCCTTACACTTTTTTTTTCTTTAATAAGGATAAGGTATATTTATATCTGCATTTGAAATTCCTGACTAAAGTAGTTTTGCAATTCCACCTCAATCAAGCCATTTACTGACATTATTTCCTAATCCTGCTCTCATAAGGTTGAAGAAAGGCTCCATGCCTTGGATGTTCAAAGGACTTTGCTAAGTTTGGATCTATAGTCATTGTTCAGATAGATCCCAAAACACATCTCCAGACTTAACTGCTCGTGACTTGAAATGAAATGGATGTGCAATCACTTGAAGGAAAAAAATGGTTAGTAACCTGTTCTGTAGCTGTTATTTGAGATGTGTTGCACATATCCATTCCAGCCTTCTTCCCCTTTATGTCGGCATCTGTCCGGTAAGAAGGAACTGAGGGTGATCCAAGGTGGCTCCACCCTTTATAACAGGGGTAGGCAACCTATGGCACGCGTGCCGAAGGCGGCACATGAGCTGATTTTCAGTGGCACTCACACTGCCCAGGTCCTGGCCACCGGTCTGGGGGGGCTCTGCATTTTAATTTTAAATGAAGCTTCTTAAATATTTTGAAACCTTATTTACTTTACATACAACAATAGTTTAGTTATATATTATAAACTTATAGAAAGAGACCTTCTAAAAAGATTAAAATGTATTACTGGCACGCGAAACCATAAATTAGAGTGAATAAATGAAGACTCGGCACACCACATCTGAAAGGTTGCTGACCCCTGCTTTATAACATTGTGTAGCAGCACAAGACTGCTGAGGATGCATGTGTACCTAATGGGCACCACTTAGGAAAAAAAATCTGACTCTAGTGCGCTGGGCATGCACACACCTGAACAAAAATGGACATGGGCAACACATCTCAAAGGACAAGTTACAGAACAGACTAATAACTGTTTTTTATTCCTGCTGGTTTCAAGGCCTCATAAGAATGTGAAATACTAAATCTGAAGTCAGTGGAAGCTGCTGAGAACTCAGCATTTTTGAAATATCAGGACACAAACAGGTGTCTAAATATGGACTTCAGGCATCCAGTTTTGAAAATGCTGGCCTAAAATGCTTACAACCTTTCTAAATCATATTCTAATTTCCATTAGGTTTTATTAGACGCTTAACAAATGCTAGTCAAGTTTTCCTAATTTTTAAGAACCTTTTCCTGAAATGTCCCAAGAAAGGAGGTTGTAAAATATAACAGATAGCTGCTGAAAAGCAAATATATTTATTATGCACTTTCATATACATAGGGTTTTTCGCTTAATATAATACAAGGAATAAAATAAAAATTTTACAATGTGAAATTCATTCAATGTACATTATAGGCTATATACAACCCAATCCAGGAAAAACAAAAAACAAACAAAAAACCCCCCCCCCAAAAACAGTCTATCTGCAAACCAAGTTAACTGAACAGACTAGATGGAGGATATTAAGCATAACACACATTTGCATAGCAGAGTAATGAGGGAAACAGACTTTTATTTTTAAATCAATGGTAATACTTTCAATAGTGATCACAAGGAGGACAAAAAGGCATCACTGTACCTCAATACCTTTTTAGGTCTGACAAATTTCAATACTTTTCTCTTTTGAAGACTTTCTCCACAAGTATATGGTATTGATGTTAATGTTCACAAGACAGTCCTTTCTCTAGCTTTCCCATCATGAATTTGTGATCACTTCTGGAGATGGTTGTTGGAGAGACTACGTGAAATGTGAGGAGGAGGAGATAGGACTAGTCGCATAGTGGCTTATGAACAACAAGATCGGGAACAGAGAAAGATTTGACAGGCTAAATTCTGGTCTGAGTTACAAGTGTGCAACCCCACTGACTTCTGTGTGATTGTACAGAGAGCAGGACATCACCCAACATTTTAAAAGTCCAAATTGAATTGCTAACATTTGGGGGATATTAGTTTTACTTTCTTAGCATGGTACAGACCACATAAGGTGTAATATTAAAATCACACACAAAAGCAATGCGGAATGTCTCACACACCCTCATCGAAGTGGATATTTTAACCGAGTAGTTCATGCTCTATTCCAAAGCAATACTGAAAAGCTGCAGGAACTGTTATTTTGATTCAGAAAATAACTTTTCAACAGGTCTTCTTTCAGTTGATTTATATGTGGGGGTTTACCCACCGTTTCAAATGTAAATATTATTCATACAAAAACTTGAAGCTGTCTGGAAACTGTAGCCCATTGTGAAATGGGCCCTCTGACCCAATGTGCACTTTGTAACAAAACAATAAAATTAAATAAATATAATCCCAACGACAAACTAGTAGTAGAAAATGTAAGCCTTCAGGGATATCTTTCTACAGAACAAAACATACACCCAATTAAAAAAAAAAGAGAAAGTTGTGTTCTTGCACAGTATTGCAAATGCACTATACTTAAGGTTCATAAGAAGTTTGCTGAAACTTTCTGGTACTCTCTTTTTACTGAACCATTAACATTCTTAAGGCTATTCTGCAAGAGTTCCATTGTGTTTATTTTATAAATATCCCACAGGGACAAGAAATTAAATACTTGAAACATTCACTTCAGAATTATCAATATTGCTATGGTGTAAACTTCTAACATTACATTTTACTACACATCATATGCCTATGAAAGATTTTCTTTTTACATTTGATAATATGAGTGAATAAGAAGGAGGTGCATTAATTAAAAAAATCAAATTGAATTATGTTCTGATGACTATTCATCATAGTAGTAAGCTATCGAGATCTTCAGTGTCCCGGAATATACAATGTATATGCATCCAAGGGCCATTTATCTAAATTTATAAATAGATCACCACCACTTTGGATCACACTATTCAGGGAATGCACAGAATCACAATATGAGAAAAGTTGAATTCAAGTCTTTAGAGGAAATACTTATGTAGAAAATGTTAACTTTTATTATCTAGAGTCAGACTATGTAATAGTGAATGGTGCAATATACTTTACAGTTTCAGGTGTTAATCAGTTTTATGACTCATGAGTGATAGAGTTAGAGTTGTGCATGTTCATCCCTTGTAAATGGAGAAAATTTCATAGTGGACATTGTTACATACAATGGACCTGTTTTTGCTTGCACAAATATTACACAGGTACAAATTCACTTACTTTAATGGAGTTATTCCTGAGTTCTTATGGAGGCTAAGTGAAAGCAGAATCAGGCCTTAAATTTTAGCACATTCTATTTAAGCACCTAATATTGAAATTAATCCAGCTTTTTTTAAATCATACTAGACTATTTAGTATGGGCTAAGTTTTGCCCGTGGATGCACATGCATAGCTCCTATCGTTTTCAGTGGTAGCCAGTCTGTACATCCAGATATCAAGCTGTAATTACAGAAATTAGATTTTATTACAAAAAAAATCCCAGAGGTGTGGTGTATGGTTATAATCTTGCATCTCTACCATTGAACAGAGTAGTTTTACTGACAGAACATACAAGTACTGCAAGTTCATCAAATACTGTTACCAGATTTGTTTTTCTTGAGAGAACTTTTGAAATACACAGGAAAATGACCACACATTACAGCAATGCAAATATGGTATAAACTGTATGTTTAGTTTCTTTTGCCCCAGGAAAATAAAATAAATACAAAAAGCACTGTCCTCCCATAAATAGTTCATTGTGGCACATGCACATTTATCAAGCCTTCTGGAACAGGATATCAAAAATCTTTGCTCTTACAATTTTTCAGGTGTTGTCAGGGAAACACAGCGTATATTATTCTGCAATTAAGAAAGAAGTGCTTATTCTGTGTATTATGTACAAAGTACACAAAATAAACTTCTGAAGCGCAGAGAGTTACACTGAGAAGGCAGCCTTAAAATTTAGGCACATTACAGTAATTAAGGTAATTGTACTGCAGTAATCACATTCTTAGTTTTCTAGGTGGACTACCAAGCATTATATGCTTTCATCCCAGGCAGCTGATTAAACCATTCCAGGCAGAAACTCTTCTGTTCATAGCATCATGGAATTGGCCTAAAAGTGCAAAATTAAAAAGTTAAATTTGGGAATATTCCATATACATACAGTATATACAGAAAGACAACTACACACATAGTTTCTAACTAAAGATATTTAAAAATATGAGTCTTGAAATAAAGATTTTCTTTAAAAACAAAAATACACAATTGCATTCACTATCCATCCAGGCACTCATATGGCTCCAATACCTATGGAAACTTTTGAAAATATTGCCAAAAAAAGGCAACAAGTGGTGAGAGCTGGAGTTCCATTCCTGGAAATCCTTGGAGATTAGACTGGCAATGAGTTTCTCCATGATGAAGTAATATTTTTCTAACATGATGTTCCATAGGTAATTCACTCAAAATAATCAAGATTAATCTGTGAAATATTTTTCGGGGCAGGCACTGAGATGAACTTCAAGAAGTATTCGATCTCTGGTTTGTTGGTTAGTAGAATTTTTTTTTTTTATTGGGATGTGGCAAAGAAATAGAGAAGACATCAAAGTAAGAGATACTTTTGAGGCTGCACCATTCAGCTAACTGTCACCACAACAAATGATATGCAAGTTTACATTTAAAACATAGTTGTAAAAAGGATTAAAAAGAATGCAAACGCTACTCTTTGGTCATATTTCACTTTAACACTATGCAGGTGGGCAGGTGTTAAATTGAAAAAGAGCTAATGAACAGAGTCAACATATAGTTATAAAATTATACATGAGGTTATTTCCACAAACTTTTCTTATATTTAAATGAGACAATTCTAAAGAGTTAGCAAATTGAATGATTGTATCTACGCTCCTGCACAGTTTTGTTCTGGTGGACTCCTTGACACAGCTTTCACAGTTCCATGATGTTATTTTAAACAATTAAGTGAAATGAAATTCAAAACAGTGTTTGGGGTGCTCACATTATAGAAGAGTTATGAAATAAAGAGACTGATTATGCAGCATTTTAACCTTATAAAATATTATATGGAACAGGGGTAAAATTTTCAAACACACAAAAGTGCTGTAGGAACCTAAGTCCCATTTTCAAAAATGACTAGCACATTTTGGAGTCTAACTCCTGTTGACTTCTAATGAGATTTAGGATCCTAAGTAACGTAGGTGCTTTTGAAAATTTTACCCCAAGACATCTACTAGAAACAAGGTGGCAGCTACAGTTGCTATATAATTGAAGATAGTTTACTGAAGATAGTAATACTAAAGTTTTATATAGAGGCAAGCTCTGAATGGCCTTTATCTGAGCCATCAAGTTGTTTTAACTGGTTAGCATTAGAGTTGCATCAAACATTTGGGGAAGCAGCTTAGGATTTTGTATACTACTTTGGCTTTTTTCCCTTTACAATAAACCTCAGGAACTAAACTTGTAGCCTAGGAATAGTAGGAGGGGACATACATGTCAGTGAAAATGACTTCTACATTCCAAGGCGGCCTGGGATAAAAACCCTCTTTTTTTTTTTGCTAGAATAAGATGTATGAATGTCTCACCATCAGGTAATTGACACAAAACTAATAAGCAACTTTCACAAAAAAAATCCTTGTTGACTTGCTGCAAGACTAAGCCAGCTAACAAGAACATTTTTGTTCTAAGAAGGAACAAATCTGGTCTGTCAGCATTCTAATGTTAATGTAAACAAAGAAAAGAAATATTATGGGAAATAAGCAATGTATATGAAGCTTTTGCATTTCAGAAAGATGCTGCTCCTCTGAAACTCAAATGTTTATTGGGATCATTATTAATAAAGTCACAATACCTTAACAAAAACTCAAACTTCATCAGGATGTTGCGGGTATAAAGGTTGGAGGAGAGTGAATTAACTATTTAACTAACTCCTGGATAATTTTCTGTAGGAAAAAAAACTATTAAAAGCTGCAGAATTTCTGCTTGAAAATGTATTATGTAGAGAGTGAGAAACCAAAATTAATTTCATCTGGAGTCTTAGATTATACTTAAGAACCTTTGTATGAATACACAATTCCCACACTCAGAAAACTGGTCCCATAATCCAATCCTACAATGAGATGCATGAAGGCCATTTAGAATCCCATCTCCTTTAAAAGGGCATTGTTCTGTACTTCTCTCACTGCAGGATATAGGCCACATTAAATATTTCAATTTAAAGTTGTAGAGAACTTATTCTTGTAACCTGAACATATATTTTACAGTTTCTTGAATAGTGTATATGTAAACAAATGAATTTCAGCGTAGCACTGAAAATATAGCGAGGTATTTTAATGTTAGCCTTTCAGTTGAAAATAATGCCGTGAATTAAGTATGTATGAAACATGCTACTTATTCAGCTACTTATCAAAAGTACTGGAGCAACACCTTGCCTTTAGCTTTATATCATTTACAAGAAGGTGTATTGATCATCCAATTGTTTTATTCTGATGTTTTTAAAAACATTTTATAATGTAGAAATCCAATTTGACACTTCACAATTTTGATTAAAAATTTGTTTAAAAAAAATTACACTAGTTATATTTTATTTATTTAAAATGCACATATTTTGTCTATGGGTTGTCTACATGGTGCATTACTGTGTACCAGCTAAGATGCAAGTTCTAGTGAATACCAGTGTGTCGTACGCAGTCCATATGGACCCTACTGGCATGCATTAAAAGCTCCCCAGTGTGCAGTGACATAGTCCCAAATAGTACTATGTCAACATGCACTAAGGAATTTTTAGTGTGCGCCACCAGGGTCTACATGGCCCATGCAATACAATGGTGTGCACTAGAACTTACACCCCAGCTAGTGCACACTAATGCACCATGCAGAAAAGCCCTATGTGATTATGATAAGCGGCTTACCTATTACAGTGGTGTTTCCTTCTTGTAGTTGAAACTTGGATCAGTTCCCTCAAGCTGAAGTTTTAAGGCTTGCTTAAGGCTTAGTTCTGTCTCTGCAGGAGGATAGCCTTCCAAAACTTCCTGAAGTCCTCTCTCCTGTCCTGTTCGTGGGACAGAAACCCTACCAAGAAAAACCTGATTGCTTTGAAGGTGATAATTTGGGTTTGTCATTATTCCATTTCGCTTTTTCTGTTCCCCACTCTGTTGGTGAATTAGGAATTGTTGCTGAGGTCGACCAACTTCGTGCTGAGATGGAGGGACCAAAATTTTGCACTGTGGCTCTGCTGGCGTTGATTTAAGTGGCACACTGGTTCCAGATTTAGCAATAGGTATTCGTTTATCAAACTGAGTCATTTCATATTCTAAAACTTTTGGTTGAGAGGAGCTGCTCGGCTTGATTTTTTTCCCGGCAGATCCAGATTTGCTGGAGTTTTCTGTTTTTCCCCCTTTGTTTGCTTTAGTTGATTTCAAACTAGGTTTTACTTGGCTCCATTCAAATTCACTACTTGGTGAATTATGATTCTGACTTAAGGAATGAGTTGTGGAAGAAGGAGAAACAATTGACTGCCTGCTTCTGCTACGAGGCAGTGAATGCTGCTGTATTTGTTCTGTAAATGACATACTATGGAAACTATCTATAGGCACTGTCTGGGCAGTTGCTGTAGATGACGTAGTACGCAGAGAAGAGTTTTTGGAACTTTTCAGCGAATTATTTGATAAGGATGACTTCTGGCGGTCCACTGTAGAATCTGGAGATTCTGAGGGAGAACTAAAAGCATGAGCAGGCCCATTAGACAAACCACGCATAGTAGGCTGCATATCTCCTCCACCAGTGCTCCCTGAACTATTTGATTTTATTGTTAATGACTGCATTTTTGAAGAGACTGACTGCAAGGGTTTTTGCTCCATTGTGTGGACTGGTGATGGAGTGCAGCCATTTAGACTAGATGCACCATATTTTTCCAGTAATTTAATAATCTGAGAATGTCCATTTTTTGCTGCAACACGCATAGCAGTACGTCCAAATTGATCTGCATGATTCGGATCAGCACCATGCTCCAGCAATATCTGCACAACATCAATGTGTCCTTCTTGTGCTGCAATGCAGAGCGCAGTAGCACCTTGATTACAGGTGTGGTCAACTAAGGCTCCATGCTCAATCAAAAGCCGAACTACTTTCACATGTCCTTGCCAAGCAGCAGATTGCAAAGCAGATCGCTTCTCATTGTCTGCAGCATTCACATCAGCATGGTATGTTATCAGTATCTGCACCATCTCCAAATGGCCCTGCCAGCAGGAAACATGGAGTGCTGTCCTTCCTTCTGCATCGCTTGCTTCTACATTTGCACCATTTTCTAAAAAATACTCGGCCATTGTAAGCTGGTTTTCTAATGCCAAGATGTAAAGTGTTGGCCGGCCATCAGCATCTTTGTAGTTTACATCTGCTCCATGGCTGAAAAGTAGTTCAACTATATCTCTATGACCTTCTAAAGCAGCAACTCGGAGAGAATTTCTCCCATCGTAGCCTCTCTGATCAATGTTAGATTTATTTTCCAGTAATATCTGTACACAATCATAGTGACCTTCTTGTGCAGCCAGTATGAAAGGTATACGTCCATCATTATCAATTTCATTTGTTCTAGCACCTTGTTCTATAAGTGCTTCACATATCAACCTGTGACCTTCAAAAGCTGCCATGTGCAAAGGTGTCCATCCTGCATCATCTCTATGATTTTCATCTAGGCCTCTGTCCAGCAGAGTCCGTACTACTTCAACATTACCTTGGGCAGAGGCTATACTAAGAACTGTTCGCCCTTCGCTATCAATGCTGTCCACAGCAGCACCCCAAAATAAAAGAGTATTTACAACTGAAGCATGGCCCATAGAGGCTGCTGCCAGAAGGGGTGTACGGCCATTATTGTCAGTGTGATCCACATCAGCTCCTCCTTCTAGAAGCAAGTCAACAACATCTACATGCCCTTCGTAGGCAGCTACCAACAGTGGAGTCATACCATCTTTGTCACAATGATCTACTTCAGCACCACGGTCAATTAAAAGGCTAACCACTGAAGCATGCCCCTTACTAGCAGGTACACAAAGTGCAGCAACAGACAGAGCAGTCCTTCCATCCACATCCTCATGATTTACCTCTGCACCATGGTCAAGGAGGTGCTCCACAATCTCTTTATGTCCCATGTATGCTGCTGCAATCAAAGCCGTTCTACCTTCATTATCAGCTTTGTTGACTTCAGCTCCATGTTGTAGCAGATTCAGCACTATATCTTCATGTCCTCCCCATGCCGCTGCTCTCAAGGCTGTTCGACTGTCAGCATCTGCACAATCCACTTTGACTCCAGCGTAAAGGAGTGCAGAAACCACCTCGGTGTGTCCACCCCAAGCTGCAGATCGTAGTGCTGTCCAGCCATCATGATCAGTGTGATTTACATTAGCCCCACATCCAATCAAACAATTGACAACCTTGGTATGTCCTTGTCGAGCAGCTAAAGTAAGTGCTGTCTGCCCGTGAGTATCTTCTATTTCTAAATCTGCTCCTCTAGAAACAAGTAAGTTAACAACATCAAGATTGCCACTATATGCAGCATTAGCTAACAATGTTCTCCCATTTGAATCACACTGATTTACTGATGCTCCATTATCTAACAGGGTCCGAATGGAATCTTCTCTTTCCAGAGCTTGTCGTACAATGCAAGATGTACGGTCATCTTCACTGTTGACATGAGCACCAGCTTTTACTAGCAGCTGTAGTACTTCCTGCTCTTTGGGGATTAAAGTGGACAAAGAGTCTTTGACTGGTGTGCCATTCCATATCATCCACAAAGCCAACTCAGAAGTCTCTAACTGCAAATTTGAATTAATTAGATGCAATGCAAATTCTTGGGCCTCTAATGGTGTCAAATCCTTTGCTCGACAAGTGTAACTCATTGCTAACATTCTGTGTCCCTCTGCTGCATTACATAAATATTTCTGTGTACAGTGCTTTACATCCAGCAGCCATTCTGCAAAACTGTAATGAAACAAAATTTTAGTATTTCCTAGCCCATCAACAAGAACTTTTGACAGAACATCTAGTTTGCGTTGAAAGTCTTCCATAGTCAATGTCATGTTTTTGGTCCACACTGCATGATACAATTCTGTTGTAGTCAATGGCCTACAAGCTGCAAGAATTACATTCAGAATGGGCTGGACCTTTGCAAACTGTTTTCTTACAAAAAGCCTCTGACAAAGCCAGAGATAAAGGCCATTTAGTGTTCCAGGAATGTCACGGATCTCTCTTAGCATGATAAAATTTTCCACAACTCCATCTAGGACACGTTCTAGATATAAAAAGCAACCACTGCTTTTGATGTGAAGCTGGTTTAGCATTTCTGCAGTTTCTTTTGTGAGATGTTGTCTCAGTGCTTCTTCTTGATCTAAACGATGGAGAATATACTGCTGCACATCTTTCACGATATATGCCTTTCGGAGATCATCTAGACTTATTTTTCGAAAACCTATTTAAAAAGAGACGAGAAAGATAAAGGTCAATGAACAATTCTGCGGTTTAGTTTTCTACTAGTTTTGGTTGTTCAATATTACAAAAGAAAAAGGCGGCTTTTGGAGAGGAAGTTTGGGAAACAGGAAAAATGATGTATGTATCAACACAGTATATCTGATATTCGATGACAAATATCTAAACTAATAGTAGCGGAGAACTGTGCTATAATGTATAAAGCAGCATATTTTTTCATATTCCACCAAAAAAAGAGAAATGCACATTAGTAAACAAAACTGAACTGGACCATGGGACAGAGATTGTGACACTGTTAGACAATGCCAAGCACACTGACAGCACATAAATAATTAGAAATAGTAAAAAACTGATCTGCACCCTTAACAAAACAACACATTCTATATTAGGAATATGAGAAATTTAGAAACATAGTTGTTTTTGTTTGTTTGTTTGATGGACCATCAAGCCCAACAGCTCAGCCTTTTTATTTTGGTTCATCTTAACTTCACTTTCTGCTTTTTAAGAATACTCTTTAATTCATTTGAAAGTTGAACTCTAATCTTGGCTTCACAATCATCTACACAATAATTTTAATATATTATCCTTTGTGTGAAAGCGTTGTGCCCAAAATTTCCATTTACTCAAACTTCCTTAACTTTCAGATTATGACATTTAATTTTTCAACCTCTTAGAAGTCTATAATTAATAGTGATTAATCTCTTGCATAATTTGGGGACTTTCTATTAGGTAGGCTTGAGGCCGCTTTTTGAACAAGAAAGGTTTTGTTTAGTTTAGATTCTTTAGACCTGTTCCCCTCCCCTCCCCCAAACCTAAACTGAAACTCTTCAAGGCAAAAAACTGTGATACCACAATGACTTAAGCAAATGAGTAGCCCTACTAAAGTCAAGGGGTACTCAGAGCATACTGATGTCAATAGATGCAATGAAGAATTCATATTATATGAGGGTGATGAAGTAGTTTCCAGTTCAGTAACTGAGGAGGATGTTACACTTCATTTACTAGGGATAATCATTTAAAAATCAGTAGGAATGGATAATTTGCACCCAAGAGTCCTAAAAAGAGTTGTCCGGGGAAATTTCTGGCCCACTGATACTTTTAATAAATCTTGGTGTAATGGAGAAATCTTGGTGTAACATGCCAATATTAAAAAAGGTAAGCATGATGACCCAGATTATAATAAGCCAGTTAGCCTGACATCAATTCTGAGCAAAATAATGGAATATCTGATATGGGGTTCAATTGATAAAGAATTAAAGGTTAGAAATACAATTAAATGCCCATTGACATTGCAAACAAACCTGATTTCATTCTTTGATGAAATTACAAATGTAGCTGATAAAGGTAACTGCGTAGATATAATATGCATACATTTTTGATTTAGCACCACACAAAACATTCTGATTAAAATAAAATAAGTACTCGAGTACTGACAGAGCACATGTGAAATAGATTAAAATCTAGCCATTTGACAGATCTCAAAAAATGTCAATGGGGAATCATCATCAAATGAAGTGTTTCTAGTGGGGTTCTACAGGGATCAATACTAAGCCCAATCCTATTCAACATTTTCATCAATGATCTGAACGTAAATATAATATCACTGTTGATAAAATTTGCAGATGACAAAGACTGGTGGATTGTTAAATAATGATGTCAGTCATACAGAGTGATGTGAATCACTTGGTAACTTGGGCCCATTCAAAGAAAATACATGTGAAAAAGACACCCCTGGAGCACCACAAGTTACATTGCCCTAAGTACTGTTCACACCAGTGCTAGGTCGGCGGGAGAGCATCTCTCGCCGACATAGCTTCCGCCTCTCGCAGAGGTGGAGTAATTATGCGTCTTCACCACACGCACTACAGCTGTGCCGATGTAGCGCTGTAGTATAGACTTTCCCTGAGAGACTTAAATCTGTTTATCAAAAGAAGAATGAGAGGTGACTCAATTACAATCCATAAGTACCAGGGAGAAAGTACCAAGTTCTAAAGGGCTCTTTAATCTAGTGGATGAATGCATGACAAGAATCAATGGCAGTAAACTGAAGCCAAACAAATTTCAATTAGAAATCAGGCCTTTTTTTTTTTTTTTTTTTTTTAAACCGTGACAGCGATAACCACTGAAACAAACTACTTTGGGATTCTCCACCTTTTGATATCTTCAGATCAAGACGATGTCTTTTTGGAAGATATGGTTTAGTCAAAAACAAATTATTGAGCACATACAGGAGTAACTGGGTGAAATTTAATAGTCTGATATACAGCACATCAGACTAGATGAGGCCTTAAAAACCTCTATGAATCTATGACTATTCCCGTACTTAAATCTTTGCAGACCCAGGGAATCTGACATGATGACCTGTGTGTTAAGTACAAGTAGGATCTAAAAAGTACCTAACAGAATAACAGTATTATTACTTATTTAGCTTCCTCGTTAAAACATAGTAAGCTGTTTGCCTTTTTAAAAGTTGCTAAAAACTGGGGTGAGGATTTCAGTACTTCCCCACTATTCTGTATTACCTAAATAACCTTGTTCTTTAAAGTGCTGACTGATTTCTGTATCTAGCAAAAATAAAATTTCAACACAAGTACTAAAAACCTCTATAAAAAGGATGACTAATCTGAATCTTAAAAAATGATCCGGGCAAGTAAGAACAATTATAATTACTAGTATTGCCCTCTGAAAATTAAAATTTTAATATACCCTAATGCTGAGAGTTGAGTACACTGTACATTTCAGAAAGAATTAAGCATACCATTTTAATATTTTACTCAATTCTTGTTTGAAATTAATGCAGTTATTTCAATTTGGAACAACATTATAGTTACATACTGTAGAAAAAGATAATTCACTCACATTAGACGAAATTATGGTTAACAACAAATGCATAATGATGGAGAATTTCCAAGTTAAAAATAAATACAATTTACTGCTGATAGCGTGATCATCTTTATCTCCTTTAACAGCCTTCAAAATATTGAAAGCGAACACTGTCAGAGATATATTTAACTATCTTTTTAATCCTGTAAATTGCACAGTATATGATTCTGCAAATGAAGGTTGTAACGTAGATCAATTTCCAACTTCTTCGGTAGTACAACGAACCAGGTTTCCTCAATGTCACGTGGTCCCTTTGTCTTCCTCTCTGTTCTTAAGAGGAAGAAGGGAAATCATTATACATACAAGAATGCTATACTTGGAAATATGTCAAAACTGGACTCTTGGAAGTTTTAGTAGCCTGCCGATTCCCAGAACGTAGCAGATGGATAGAATGTAGTGTATAAAAAAATTCAGTTACATGTAACACACAACTGGTCCCTGTCATTTGAAACATCAGTCTTCACAGTGCCAAGTTTTGTATTTGCCACAGATCGTTTTTTTCTAAACAATAAAACAATGCTTGCATACCACTTTTCTGGAAGCTACAGAACTCTAAGAAACTCTAGAAGTCACAGAAACAGCAATTTAAGTTGCTGAGTAAAAAAATTCTAGGCCACAACTGTACCTCACCATTCCAGTGAGGGACAGTAACCTCATCCATCCACAGTAACAACGTACACACGTTTTCTTAGAGTCAGCTAATCTGCCTTAAAAACTTTTTTTTTTAAACCAAAAGTGGTCATCAAACCGCAAATTATCTTGGGGGAGAAGCAATCATGTGGTAACCAGTTCTATCCAGTTTTGACCGTTATTCCACAGAGCTAATAGTTTGAGGTGATACAATAAAAAATGGCATTGTTTGGATCTATGTTTTGTTTAACATGACTTCCAGATCTAAATACTCAGTTTACAAATTTTGTTCTAGCTGCAAATTCAACCTGGGTTCTAAGACTTAAGATGGATTCTCCCCTTTTCAAGCACCCTCACCAAAGGTTCTGCATCCCATATTAGGCCCTCTGTGGTACCTATGAAACCCCAATTACCTTCATGGGGGTTGCATATATAATACTGACTAAAGTTTAGTGAACAATTCTGTTAACATTACTGAAGAAAGAATGTAGTCTAGCTTAGGGATGCAGTTTCATTCCTTTTGGAGCTTAGGACTGGACCTAACTACACACACCGACATGAGATGCAGCTATTTCTAGAGTGGAGGGTGGCAGCAAGCCAGCACACAGTGCTATAATGAGGGAGGGATATTCTGGCCAAAGTAATCCGACTAAAACCTTGATAAAGGAACCACAATATCTTTCACCTCCAAAAAACAAAACAACAACAACAACAAAAAAAACAGCAGCAGAAAGGATCCTCCCAATTCCACCCCATTTTTTTTTTTAAGTGTCATATGAAAGCAGACGGCAGAATACTTAAATTAATGGCCTTGGAAGAACGACAGACTGAGCTGTCTCTGTCAGGATCTGAACCCCATACTTCCATAGAGATATAGGTATTTTAAATTGAAGCTCAGACTATGTCATCCTCTTTATCATGTATAAATGCCATTCTGAAAAATAACTGAAAAAAGTCAGAGTTTAAAGCCAGGAGGAACCACCAGATCATCTAGTCTGACCTCTTAACATCACAGGACACCAACACCACCCAGCACCCACACACTAAAACTAACAACCAAAATTAGACCAAAGTATTACAGCCAACAGGAAACTAGACTATTATATGTCACAGACAGAGAACAGGAAGGATAGGGGTGCAACCCGTGCCAGAGTCTCCTGCAATGGCAGCAAAATGATTGGGCATATTTAATTTAGATAATCCGAGCAAGTGACCAGCACTCCATGATAGAGAGGAAGGTGAAAAAGCCCTAAAGTCACAGCCAATCTGACTTGTGGGAAAATTCCTTCCCGACCCTACATATGGAAATCAGTTAGACCTCAGCATGTAAACAAGAACCATCCAGCTGAGAGAACACGCTTGGAGCCACCTCAGAGCACTGACCCACCCCGTCCAGTGTCCCATCTCCAGCAATGGGCATCTCTGATGCTTCAGAGGAAAAAGAAAAAAACCCCACCAGAATACATGCGG